TACGTTGCGAAGCGGCGCTGTAGCGCTACAAGTATGAACGCTGGCTTAGAAACAGCTCCCACGGTCAAATGGTCCACGAAATGCCTCCGTGCATTTAGCATCATTGTCCGCACTTGCAGAGAATGTACCACTTTCGTCACCCGAAACGACGAGATAAAGAAGCTTGAGGCGCGTCTTTATCACAACCATTACAACCACGATAACTTTCACTCTGCAAGATAATGGCTTACGAGCGAATTGCGGGTGTTCATAGCGTTGTCTGGAGCGTCGTAAGGTGATTGCCTGTGCTCTTGTTGGGAACTGGTTGTACGTCCAACCCTGCTGATGTCTTGGGCTTGCCAATCTCCGACAAACTCGTCCAAGGCGCCTACTGCTAAGCGGTCTCTGTCTTTCTCTACAGGGACACTTATATACTACTGGTTTATGAATGAGCATCTACTACCCGAAACACTTCGCGGGATTTGTCTCACGGCTGAACTTGAGAGGAGGAGTGGTCTCGTCCAACTGGGCCGAGTCCTAGCTAGGCGTAGGCTGGGAAAAAGGTCTTCGTTAGTGCCGGCACAGGAAATGAGTATCATATTCGTAGAATGCCATGTAAACCCTGTATGATGCTTCATAAAATTCGGTGAAATATGATGGGTGCACCAAACTTACACCTATCAGCGCTTATTGGCGCCTTTGCTAAAGATATTAGCTACACGTAAATGATACCATTGTCTTAGTATGCGAGCTCATCCCAGTTCTGTAGAAAGAGGGTCACATTTACATCTACTTGGTTAAAAAAAGCGGTAGCGCCAACCAAACAAGCGCCAGATGGCGCCCTTGTTGAAAAATGTATGTCACAATCGTAATCACGACATTAAGTTACCCTAGTTCATTCCAATTCTCGTGAAAAAAGGAGGTAGCCGAGTTGCACCGGCTCCATTGTGACATCAAATGTCTCGGCACCAAAAACAATACTGAATTCATAATCCGAACTCTAAAGAACCTGGTATGCCACTTGTATCACTTTGAAATAGAATACTAATAGCACCACCACTTGGCACAAAACGGCGTCGACGCCGAAAATAAGCGTTATGTTCGTGATCGGGACACTGGGTATCCGTGTAAGAAAAAGATGAGGTTAAGATTCTGGGGAATCGAGTAGAGCCTAAACAATTCTACCAACTCAGTTTACATGACTTACACGTTGGTATTCGTTCTCCTTCGGATATTTGTCAGTACCAAGAAAGAGCATGTGCTCGCAGAAGTGCGCCAACCCTTGTAAGTCCCATGGATCCATTAGGCTTCCTGGAATGAATCACTACAGTGGACTGAATCACTACAGAACACTCAGCCAGTGAAAAAAAGTTATTCAAAGTTTGAAAGCAGTTAACATTAAGTAATAGTGGCCTACCGACATTAACATCCATTGCAGCGGCAGATTTATCTGTAGTAGGATCCGATACCAGTAGTACCCGGAGGCCATTTGTGAGTTCAAGTCCTCGATACTGCAATAGACTAAATTGTTCTTCTTAGGCCAAATCACCCTGTAAAATACAGTTGAAGAGGCACTCCATGCCGACTGAATGGGAGTCACGCCTACCGTTCCACTTTCTTCATTGGCGCTCCCACGCTCGACTGGCTCTTCTAGCGCCGTACGAGACAAGAGCGCGCTAATAAAGGTTTTAAAATGTACCTGGCCTCACTCCCGAGATCATAAGCATTCGGAATGAATAAAAGGTAT